CCCCCCTTCAAAAAAAAAAAAAAAAAAGAGAGAAATTCATGTTATTAGACAGGAAAACAAAACTATAAGCTGCCATTTTTCCCAAATTAAATGTAATCACAATTAAACTTCCATGAATATTTTTTTGAAACTTGACAGCTGATTATCATGTTCATTTGGAAGAGAAAATTCACAATAGGCAAAAAATTCTGAAAAAGTAATAAAAACAATTTGCTGTAAGAGTTATATAAAAAGTCCTTAAGATGATTGTTTAGTTTACTCCAATATAGCCATAATAGAAGACTAATAGACAAGAAATTGATTTATATATATTTAGAAATAGAGTATATAAGAAAAGTCCTATACCAAATCAGTAATGGAAAAAATAGGCTATTCAAATTATGCTATTGGGGTAACTCACAAACATGCACACACATATACACTCACACACAGAGAGAGCGACAGTCTTACTTGTGTGGGAGGAAGGGAAGGGAGGGAAGGAAGGTTGGGGTAAAGGAGGAAGGAAGGAAAAAGAAAAGTAATGACTGCATAATAGTGAAAATCCCTAAAATAAAAGAAATTCAAATAACACAAATACAGCAGTCATCCCTGCAAGGCATTCATACAACAAAGAGGATAAAAATACCTGGTGCTCTCAATTATTGCAATATTCGGAGTCCAAATTTGTGAGAAATGCACTCACAAAGAAAGAAAGGATGAAACATCAGAATAGAATCAAGAAAACTGTAAGATTACTTAATTATGAAATATTTCAAGAAAAGCTAAGCAAACGAAAGTAACAATGAGATAGAGTAAAGAAAGATGACTTGAGAACACCAGAAATGGGGACTCTAAAATCAAAGGGCTGGCAGTGGACACTGCAACCATCTATATGCACAATAAGGATGAAGTGTCAAAGAAATTAAAGTTGCTAAATAAAATGCAAATGGTATGAACTCTGATAAATTAATACAGCTATCAAAAATTGAAAATGAAGAGATGTGAGGGCATGCTGGAGAGAAACTAATCAGCCCAAATTCCATTGCAGGGAGTTAATGATCTTTATTTTGAATTCAAACATGGAGCTAATATATGTAACTGATTAATGGTATTCATATTCTTTATTCCTAACTACAAAGACACATTTTGTTTAAAAAAGAAATCTTGTGGTAAGGAAATATTTTTGTGATTTTTCTCAAATGACTACAGATTATTTTATTCTATTAGATCATACATAGTATATCAAATAGTCTACACAAGTCTCTCTCTACTTGTCCTTTTGTTTATGTAGATGTATATTTATATAACTGATCTTGCTTGTCATATTTTAAAAGGTATTTTTATCTGATTGTAAAGATTTGGAAATGATTTGTATTTTTCTTAACTTTAATACATTATGGTGAAACAGTAAGTCTTAACTTATTAAATAAATTAACATAAAGTTATAACAATAGGAACAATGTTAACATTTTTATAGAAACTTGCAGGTGTTTATTTGTATGAATTGTTTTTTCTAGGAAAAAAATGCCTGCATTAACAAGATTTGTCAAGGTACTTGAAAAATGTGGGATAAGGAGATTAGCATGCTGTGCATCCAGGAAAGAGGTTTGCTGTGCTTTTCTGACACCATGGCTTTAATCTGAATGCTATAAAGGAAAACTGAACACATGCAGTACAAAATTAGTTGCAAATAGGAACTAAGCATCACCACTTTGAAGTCAAATGAAATGAAAATGACTGGACATGAAGAGGAGAAGAGAAATTTGTAGCTCTGCTAATGGGAAAGTCCTGAGAACTCAGGCTTCTTTGCTTTGCCATAGTAGAGTTAGTAAAATTGGAATTATCTGGTAAAAATTTCCCTAGTACAAAGATCAGATGCTCACACAGGTGACAGTGATGATTTACCACATTAACTATGAACTCTTGAACACACACAAAAAAGTAAACTAGATAAATTATTATCTAGTATTAGACAAAGTTAGAGAACTGCATGAAGTAAATTTTGCTGGTAAAGAATCAGTGAAATACATGTAATTTAACTACATTAGAACTCTGGAATCATGAAACCCTAAAAAAATAGTACAATTACAATTAAAAACCCTGCTGACTACAAGACCTAATTTTCTGTTATTTCAAAGGTTTTGACCGAATGTTAAACATGTCTTGAAAATAGAATCAGGATGTCTATCATTGTGATTAGTGTAAGGTAGTCTCAAAAAACATAGCCCTCATGTCTTTACTCTCTGACTAAACAAACACTAGTAAGAGGTTCCTACTTATTTCCTGGAAATAATGATGTTAATTTCCAAGGTAATTTTAGCATTAAGTAAAATATACTTTCTTTTTACTATTTTATAAACCACTTAGAAAATAATGCTTTTTTTTTAAGCATGAAAAAGAGGGCAAACTGATATGGAAAATGACAGAATTTCAAATATCTATGGATATTTGGTGCTGGAATATAAATCAGTTTGGTTAAATGCAGAAACAGCCCTTTATTTATAAGGTTCATAGACTAGATTTGCCTAAGTGTGTATAACTGCATCTCTCCATTATCTTTCCATGGAAAGGATCAAATATCTACTTGACCAGAAAGTAGATTTAAATAAGATCATTCTTTATTTCACAGTGGAATACTGGCTACCCTCTAACATTAATGCAGGAAAACATAGAAGCACCCATATCAAACATATAGGAAGTAAAGATAAATAAAAGTGATGATAATCATTATTACTTTTTCTTATTTTAAATGAATCTTTATAAGTAACTTTTGAATTTAATAGACTTCCTTATTAGACCTACAGGGACTTTAAAATATTGAATATATGATAAGCTATGTAAAGTTTGGCATGAATACCATTTTTAAAATGAAAATATAATTTCTACTAGTATAACTGAGTTTTTTATTTTTTTAATCTAAGATTAAAGTATTTTTATAATTATCTACAAACTCACTTTTTAATGTGAAAACTAAAACTTCCAAGAGTCATGGCTAGTGTTTTTGAAATAGTGAATAAACCACACATGCGTTCATGGAGAGCATTGATAGGGAAACTACTTCTAACATACAGTTTGTCTTTTTATTTAAACTGTTTATTTAAAATTTTAAGGGGCATAGGAGTCTCTTCTGCTCTCAGAACAGCCTCCTGTCTGAATGCTAGTGGGATATGCTCTCTCCTGTCTATGCTGTGCCAAGACTTACTGACCCACAGACAATGAGAAGATACATGGGAAGGACATACAACAAAACTGGGATGTGAAAAAGAGCCCATAGATTTCAATAAATAAGTGAATTTTAGAAATGCTTGTAAATTTGTGGTTTAGAGCTTTCTGAGGAATAGAGATTAGAATCCCAAACACCCTATTTTATACTTTGGTGCTAAGAAATCAGTGGACTACTATTTGGTTCACAGGTGGAAAACAGACATTCAGTTTCCAGGGACAGCCCTGTTTTACCATTGTAGTTATACTGTCCAAAATGTCCCATCTGGGAAAGTAAATTCTTGACACAGCTGCTGGTATACATTATCACAGCCTTTCTAAATTGTACTTCCAGGTGACTTCAAATTGTTCTATCTGACTTGGGGGTAAATCTTACTTTGCTATGCCTGTACTTGCTGAGAGATACATTTTCAAATAATTTCTTATTTATTATTCTTCTTCCTGCACTAAAAATTATCTTGATTTTCATGCATATTTCATTTCTTCAAATATTAAGCTGTTTAATAGTGCTAAATACCAAAACAACTCATTAATAACAGTGACAAACTCTCAAGATAACACAATGATAACTGTAACTTGCAATGTGAGTATATCAAACTGCATTGCATGGTATTTTCTCTGTTTTAATTCAATTAAGGTGAAACAAAAACACCCAATATCCATTTATTAGAACCTTAATAAGTTTTAATAATTTAATAATGTAAGATGAGGTGTGTGTGTATATATACAGTATGTCTAACTCAAAATCAGACTGAAAAGTAAGTTCAATATGAAGTTTCCAGTACCCAAAGAATCAATGTATAAATTATTAAGGTTTTACAGGTTCACATGTGAAAAATAAGATTTGAAGTTAATGACCCTAATTAGAAGTTTTTTTGAAAATTAAATCCTCTATTCTTCTTTGAAATTGATATAGAAAAAACATAGTTTTGAAAAATATTATCAAATTATGGCTTCTTATGCAACCTATTTACTACTGTAATAGTGATACTGAAATAATATTCTAATCTGACATAGACTCATACTTATAAAATAAGCTTAATAATCTTTCAATAGCTCAAGTTTCTCTATGTTTGCCTTTATCAATTTACATATAATTTCCAGGGATTTAGAATTAAGAATTTGCCTAATAGAGTCAAAAGATTAGTTAGATTTTGATGTAGCCAAGAAAGCATACTACCTTCTTACCAATCACACACTTCAGCAAAAATTAAATTACAATGTTTTATATGTTAGCATGCTTCTAAGTGATAAAAACACATAGCGTGCACACACACATGCATGCACATGCCATTTGAGATAATATTTTGACTTGTCTTAAAGTACATCTAGCAATAAAATTAATTTCTATTCTAAGGCTCTTTGTCACCTCTCTTAGAAAATGAATGCCCACTAAAGCTGAAAATATATATAGTCTATTGAATTATAATTATTTATTCAAGTAGATGCTTCTTGCAAAGATTACTTGCTATATAAAAACCCCTTTTGAAAGTGCTGAGAGCTGTATGTATTTCACGTCTATTCAAAATAAAGGGGCAAATTCTTTGACATACTGTTTTTATAGACTAATACAAGCAGAACTGAAGTTGAATTCAAAATGTTTTTCTAAATGTCTGTTAGTATCTAACTCTAACCATTGGCTTTTCAATTGTGTCATTGTTTTAATTTATTCCAATAGGTGTGTAGTTTAAAGAATCTAAATGCATAATGAAGAGATAAGGGGATTCAACTATCCTAATTCAAGTTAAAACATAACCTCTAAATATTTTGTACAGTAAGCCAAAGCCAGTATCACATACCTTTCGAGAATGAATTTCTTTCACATACAATGGAAGTAGAAACTCAGATATACCTTCAAGTCGGATTCCCTTCTTGGTGACTCTCAGATTTCCCATACCATCCTACAAGCAATGAAATATAGTTCACTTTTAGGTTAATTAGAGAATTAATATCTGGCCATAATTTTCTTAGGCCTAAATTGAGAAAACAGTAAGCTGAAATTAGTGATGATCGAAGGAAAATGAAAGACTGATCCACTTAATGAATGACTGCAGCAATTTGCATGCATTAAGAGGGCTCTACCAGATAAACAGAAGAGGAAGGCTATAAAGGATCTAGTCTCTTTTCCCAGCTCTATTAGATTGAGAGTTCATCTGTGAATAAGTTCTGTACTTTCCTCATGCATCAGTAAGTCTACTTATTAGGGATAATGGTACTCACTCCCTAGTTATTAGAAGTAGTTGTCATAGAGAGCAAGGAGTATTTGTACACGACAGCTGAATTCATATCTCCACAATATTCAAATACATTTGCACAATAATTTTAACAAGTAATTAAAATGATTGGTTTTAATAAGCATTGTGTTCCAGTATACAAACTGTTAATAAAGCTATGTTCTCCCCTTTATCAAACAATAACCAATGAGGAAGATAAAACAAGACACAAATAACATTTGTGAGACAGAATATAGTAAAAATGCAAGAACAGAGTGATAATGGGAATTAAAGAAAGGTTTCTGATCTGGGAAGAGAGTAAACATTTCTCATGAAAGAGACTGACTCTGATAAAGGCCACAAGAATATGAAATTTCACCTGAAGTCACCCTTAAAAAGGGCAGTCCAAAATGATAGTTAGCACATAGCATGATACACAATCTTCCTAATGGATGATTATAATGAGAAAATATAACTGGGAATATGCTTTTAAGCCAGAGGGAGGAAGCCATGTCTGCAAAGCTAAACCTCCATGAGAAGAATATAAAAAGTTTTTGTATAGTACAACAGCTTGAATTATCAGAGTTAAGGTTCAAGCTTAATCTGTTAGAAGAACTATGTGCGACAACTGACAGGGCATAGGTAATAAAGTATAATTTATATATAAGGGTAAGGATTATGGTGGAGAAACAACCTACATGACTTGGCCAATAATTTTGTTTGTAAGTCCTGAAAAGAATGGAAGCTAAGATTTATCCCAGATTTCCCAGCTATGCATAATTAAGGAACTGTAAGAATTTAGAAAACAAGAATACTGAAATTTTAGACTTAATGACAAAAATAAATTCAGATTCAATTTTTTTAATTATGAGGTATCATTGAAAAAATAGGTATGTAAAAAACTTGGATAATGACTAGGACTGTGGAGTGCAAACAATACATAAAAAATAAAATATAAAAGTATAAAAGAGAAACTATGATTAATATGAGAGGAAAATCAAGAGGACATAATGGCCCAGTACTCTCACCCCAACTCAAAGAAGTCAGTCTTCAATATAACAATGAGCAGAATTATGAGTAAAAAATTTTTAAAGTCTTTTAATCTTTTTTTTTTTAAGATTTATTTATTTGTGCATACAGAACTGGGGTACAGGCCAGAGGCTCAGGGGCGGTGAGAGGTTTCACCAGAGACAGAGTGGGGAACAGAACAGGTAGATCGATGAAGTACACTGCCGAGGGGAGCAGTGGGTGGGTCAGGAGAGGTCTGCCACACCATGTGGTCACCTCTGGGGCAGGCGGGAATCAAACTCATGCAGAAGCGGTTTTAGCTTCTCAGTGCTGTGCTTTAACCCGCTTGCGCCACCAGGGAGGGCCAAGTCTTTTAATTTTAAGCAAAAGGAAAATATGGTTTATGGTTGAAGAAGAGTTGATAGGGGATAAAGGGATTCATTTTTTGAAGCAATTGAAAAAAATAAAACAAAGTTAAAATGGATACAGGAAATATATAAGGGACTGACCAAAAACCAAAAAATGTAAACATGAGAATATCAAGCATTACTGAAAACTTACATTCATGAGAAAATATGTCTACTTTTTGTAGAAATGATGAAACTCCCTGTTTGCTCTGAGATAGGATTTGCTTATATCTATTTTATAATTATGTTTTTAATTTCAATAGTGAAATGCATCTCTTAGACATTAAATTATGTGGTCTCCACTTGCTGATTCTCATTAAGTAAGATATTAAAACACTACACCTTAAAGAAAAGAAACAGGCAGAATTAACAGCAAGAGACTCAAAATTGAGTATTCACTAGTAGGAACGGAAGAAAAACATAAATTTTTAGTGTTCTAAAGTAAGAGGAAATGAGTCTCAAATGACTAATCAACACTCTTCTTGTTAGATAGAAGTAAATCCAGGATGGCAATGGTAGGCTGCAAAACTCATTCAGGGTCAAGAAAATGTCAAATGATGATACATTAATGAGTAATTTCAATAAGAGGTAAGCGATATGAGAAAGTCTGGTTTCTCTTTAAAACATGTAATTTCAGATTTTAAGATGTTGTAGGTGAGAAAGTATCCAAAGAGACCATAAGAACACTGCAGCAGAGGAGGCAGTCTGGAAACAGAATTCTCTAGACAGTGAAGATTATTCAAATGCTTATAGTCACATGTGACATTAAATTATTATTTTGTCTCAGAGGGATTTTCTTGATTAAATATCAGTGACTGCCTATATATTTTCAAAAACCTGCTAGAATGAAATATTCTCAGTTTCTCCAAATTGTTGCTATAGAAACATCTAGTGTAAGTTTTAGAGATGAACTCAAGACAATAGAAACTAATTTTATCAAAAGCATAATTACCACTTTACTATAAGTTCCCACTGTCTGAAAAAGTTTTTCCTATGAAACTTTCCAAGGCAAAATGGCATAATGAAATAACAATTATCATTAATTATTATGTAGACACTTTTAGCACTCCCAAGTCCAAAAGTGAATCTACCAATAACAAACTAAAGAACAACAAAATCTAAACTAAGTAACACACAATAAAAGCCAGAATGGTGTAACAGAGTATGAAGCAGTGCAGGAGAAGGAGTTTGAAAGCATTACTCTCGCTGCCCCGTTCTGCTCTAGAATTGCCACTGCAAAACCAACACTGAATAAGGTATACGCTTTTCATCTCTCCATACAAGCAAACATCCTTGGATTTCTTGATTTGGCAAAAACAGATACTACACTCATTTATAAAAGCCAAGTAGTAGAAGGTGAACTTTCAAAAAGGGAGGTATATGCATGTTAAGCTTTAAAAAACTTGTTTTTATTAGTTGATTAAAACTAAAAGAAATGGGAATTCAAAGTTGAATGTGTTATTACTTTTGCTATGTATATAATGGCAAGTTTTTAATCTCCTACTCAGTGTGTTTCTTCTTATAGCTTCTGCTTAACAAATATATTTTGGTATATAAATGATTACACTGCATTATATTAATGAGGTAGAATCCCCAAAGATAAACGTAGGATTATAATTATTATAGAGTTGTGTTGTGAATACAACAGCACATTCCATGACTCACATACCATGTCTATTTATCCTTTCTATTTTTTCTATTTGTACAAAGCATTTCAAGTATCTTTATATTATCTACATGCAGTTATAAGATATATGAAACTAAATTATATGAATTCACCATACAATGAACCTGGTCCTCACATTCTTGCATCAAGCACATTAATAATTTTTAATTAATAATTAATATTTTTAAGAGTAATCTAGTTTCCATTCTGTAGGAGTGTTAAATTATTCCCACTATTGCTATACCTTCCTGACTCACTATTTTCTTGCTACTTTCAGCATCTAAAAGGTAGAAAACATTTTTGAATATTCAGTTAGAAATGACATTGTCAAAACAGCAGAAAATTACAGAATCTAATGTACCCATGGCCCACACCTATTCTTGGTTCTGTCACCTTTTCCTGTTTAAGCTTGCATCACTTAACTAATATACATGTCCCTTAGTTTTACCACCTGTAAAAAGAATAATAGAATCCGTGGTATATGTTTATTACAATAACAAGAGGATATAAAATAACTGAATTTAAAGTCATATAGATATACAAAACAGCTATGACTATTAATGATGTATTTAAAGTAATTAAAATTTTGCTCTCATTATAAAAGCTTGCATTTGTTTATTTTATGAGGGATTCTTTTTTAATTTCAGCAGATTAAAGATCAAGTTTATAATTATTCCAGTTTGATGCCTTTATTTATCATCTAGAAATCACAGACATCATTTAGCTACTTTGGATGGTCAGTAAAATATTATTTGAGAGAGATTCGAGCAGCTAGATAGCTTAATTTGAAATTTGACTTTGTCATGTAATCTAATCTCTACATATACATTAATTTTTATAAATATCAGAAAATGATAGTATTCCTTAGAGGGATGTTATGATATTTTAATGAAATACTATGAGATATATTACTGATCTTGGTATACTTTTGATGACTCCCTTTACTTGTAGCCATCCTTTCCCATTTTCATCTTTCCTTTCTATCCCCAGTATCACTGTTAATGTTCAAGACATATTCAATTCCAATCAGGCAATTATTTCCAAATTTACACTGTTTTAAAGTCAAGATTACAGTGTTTATTACACTGTAACTACACCTTGCTCTTGCTGAAAACCCAGACTGTACCCTTAGTTCTTAGATTATGGATTTACATCTTTCACTTCAAAGTTAGTTTGCTCTTGAAACAATTCATTACGAAAATATAACTTCTAAACTTCTATGTTAAAGGGAAATATCATAAAAAAATCACTATACCGGCCCTCCCTGGTGGCGCAGCGGGTTAAAGCACTGCACTAAAAAAGCTTAAGCCACTTCCACATGAGTTCGATCCCCGCTTGCCCCGGAGGTGACCACATAGTGCGGCAGACCTCTCCTGGTCCGCCCGCTGCTCCCCTCAGCAGTGTACTTCGTCGATCTGCCTGTTCTGCTCCCCACTCTGTCCCTGGTGAATTCTCTCACCCTCCTCATCTCTGGTCTGTATCCCAGTTATATATGAACAAATAAATAAATCTTTAAAAAAAAAATCACTATACCTTACCCTAACTTTTCCTTTAGAGTCTTTTCAAGACCTTTACATCTTATACAAGCCTCAGCTTTTCAGATATTT